GGGCATAGAAACTTACCTCGCTTGTGACCGCCCTCGCTTCCAAGAGATACCAGGCGATGCCAAGCTGCGGCCTGTGCTGGTCAGGCCGCTTGACGGGAGGGCGCGTGGCGTGACCTGGTTTTGCCTGGGAGCAAAGCGGGGTAAGTAATTCGCGCTCTGAAGATCTCCGAGCCGTGAGCCTCCGTGATCATGAGAATGTCCGCCTTGTGCGCGGGTTTGTGTGCGCGCGCGCTCTTGGCCGCATTCGGGAATGGGTCCGTGGCGAAGACGGCCTGCGCGCTCCACGCGATCGCCGAAATGTCGCCTGTGAATTGGCCGGCGCGGCGGCCGGCTGCGGAGGGCTGCGCCTCCCGCGGCGCGCGGGCCAGCGGCGGGGGGAGTGTGTCGGGGCTGATGGCGCCGAGTGCTCGAAGGAGCCGTTGGCGTCGAAGAATGCAAGCGGGCGCGTCCCTGGCGGGCTCCTTCGCGCTGGTGGCCAAACCGCATTCATTTATGGTCAGCGGCGGAGGGGGAGGCAGTAAGCTGCGCGCCTGTCGCCTGGCAGACGTGGTCCATCAAGAGCTTCAGCGCGATCGAATCGTCCTTGCCCAACTCGCCCTTCGCGACGAACTCGGCGATATTTCCGGAGAGGTGGGTGGCCTTGTTGCCTCGACGTTTGTCTGCATCGAGCATAGCTGCGGTCGCGGACGGGGTGGCGACCGAGTCTGGTAGCCGCGCTCCTCTTGTCAGCCAGGTACATCTTATCCGCGACCTCTGTCCGCGTGTCGGTCGAGGCCGCAGAGGCGACCAGATAGCGCTCGGAGTCGAGAGCGAGCATCTGCGAGCAGATCGGCCAGAAATGATGCGCTGAGCCGCTGCCGCTGCACTCCAAAATCATTGCGTCAGAATCGTTCACGAGGGACCTGCTGCCGTAGGAAATGTCGTTTTGCGGGAGGCGCCAGCGGAGGCTCTGTAAGAGTATCGTCTGGTCCAAAAGTGTGGCCGTGGCCGGGGAGATCACAGCACTGGCGACTCTTGGCGTTGCGCTCGAGCTAGATGGGCTCCGGCGGTGATGACGGAAACGCGCGTCGCGCATGCCGTCCTTGTGAGCCAGCGCGAGGAACTGCGGAATATGGTCCACGTGCATGTCGAACGTGAAGGCGTCGTAGTCGCCGACCGTCAGACTGGGGCCAGGGCTGATCAACCTACGGATGCTCCTGGGCATCATGCGCACTAGCGTGAAGATGGCAATTCCGTTGGGCTCGTGCCAGGGGGCGTTGGCGGCGCTGGACGTGACCATCTCGAAAGGGAATGCTGCAAAAGAGACCCCTCAAACAATAGGCATCCACCGCTCGGACAATAAGGGAAGGAAATTAAAACTATCCGTGATATTGCTGACCGCGCCCATTGCTGACCGCGAGGAACAGCACATTGAGCCATAGAGCCCGTCTGATCCTCCCCATCCAGAATCTCAGCTCGACGAGCCTGGTGCCCTATGAATGTCCAGGGTTCGGGCGCGAACTCTTCAGCGCTGCCCTGAACGACCTCTTCGGCTGAGCCTGCAGAAAGCTCAGCACATCCAGGAATCTGCAGCCCCGGGATCGGATCCAACTCAGTAGAACTCACCAGCTCTATCCCGAAGTGATCGTATGCGTCTTCATGCGACAAGACTGCCTGCTGCAGAGCACAGTGCCTGGCTGGCCACACGTTTGGCCAGCCCATGACGGGCTCCCATCACCAGCAGGTCGTCCTCGCACGCTTTGACGGGCTCGGCACCGAGCTTGGCAAACCAGTCCGCCTCGCTGTTGACTCGCCACTCTCGGTGCGTTAGCAACCCCTTTCGCACTGCATGGTGTGGCTGGTGCGCGCCGACCTTCGCGAAAACAGCACCAGACAGTGGATCACCAATCTCCGACCACCAGTGTGCTCGAGGCACCTTGCTCCAATCTGCACAACCAAGCCGCCGGGCCCGTCCGGAGGCCGCCGCGAAGTCGGTGTGCACCACGACACCATGTGACAACATGGTGTGGCGAAGCATCTAGAGCACCGTGCAGTCCTCTCCTTCTCGCGCCACCTGGGGCTCCCCTGCCAAGGGCACGGTGCAGCCGAAACGGCTGCACCGTGCACATCCACGAGTACACCCGCCCATCAAGCAACGCGCAAGGACGGCCACAACATCTATAAGCCCGAATCCGCCTCCTCCTCCTCCTCCTCTTCTTTGTCTTCACCGTGCCAAGTTTTGCCCCCGACACTCGAGGGTCGCCGGAGGAGGTGCTTGGGAGGTGTATGGCCTCGATCGGGCCTCGGGAGGCCTCCAGAGTTCGGCTTCTGGGGGCCAGGCGCAAAACTTACAACCTCGTCGTCCTCTTTGGTGTCCTCCTCCTCCTCCTGCTTATCTTCCTCCCCGCGGTCCTCTTTACTCTGTCGCCCGGCCCTCGGCTCTGGACGGCAACATTCGGGGGCCCGCTTCTCGCTCGACGCCCGACTCGGCGGAGAACCAAACGTACTGAGCACAGTGGGCGGGGATGCGAGGGAGGAGCAGGGCAGGGAGTCAGTCTTGTCCCCCTCCTGCCTCCTCTCCTCCCGCCTACGGCCAGGCCCTCTCGACCTCAGAGGATCGAGGCGGACAGTTGTCGAATGCTCTGGGACAACTTCTGTATGCCATCGTTCGCCCCGTTTGCGCCTCTGGGGGCCCAACGAGACCGCCAGGGGTACGGATCCAGGGCGGCACGAAATTTAAGACCTCCCCTCTCTCCTCTGTCTCCGCTGCCTCACATTCTCCTCGCTCCTCTCCTCCATCCTACTCATCCTCCTCCTCCTCCCCTCCTCCTCCTCCTCCTCGTCCTCTTCCTTCGCAATCCTCCATCCTTCTAAGTCTCAGGCTTCTCCTCAATCTCTTCCTAGCGCTCGACCTTCCAAGCCCTTCGCTCCCCTTTTCTCCCCCCTTCTGCACCCTAGAACCAACAAACGACGAATCCGCAAGTCGAATCAAATCCGAATGTGCGTCGGATCGGGTTGCACCAGCACGGGCTCGACATCGAATCGGATCGGCTGCGCCAGGATGCACTACAACGCCATATAAACATCGAACGGCGTCAGATCGCCGGAATCGATATCGAGCGGGATCGATCGGATCAAAACTGACCCTGCACCAACATAAGCATCACCAGCATCGTCATCATAATCATCATCGCCATCGTCATCAACATCACCATCATCACATCATCATCATCACAACCACCATCATCATCAGCATCACTATCGCCGTAACATCAACAACATCACCACCACCATCATCACTATCAACATCACCATCACCATCAACACAACCACCACCACCACCACTGTCATCATCACCATCACTATCACCACCACCACCATAACCAATACCATGACCAATACCAGTACCATCACCATCACCATCGCAATCAACACAATCACCACGACCAGGACAATCGTCATCAACATCAGCATCAATATCACCACCATCTCCATCACCATCGCGGTCACCACCACAACCATTACCTTCACCATCACTATCACACCCACCATCACCGTCACTATCACTCTCACCAACAGCATCAGCATCATCATCATCATCATCAGCATCACCCCCACCACCATCACCATGACCATCACGATCACCATCATCACCATCTCCATCACCATCACCGTCATCATCAGCATCATCCTCAGCATCATCATCACCAGCACCACCACCATCATCGTCACCATCACGATCACCATCACCATCATCATCATCATGACCATCACCGTCATCATTATCAACATCATCATCACCACCATCATCAGCCTTACCATCATCACCATCATCATCACCACCACAGTCACAATCACCATCATCATCATCTTCTTCATCATCATCATCATTCGCATCATCGGCAACACCATCATCACCATCATCATTACCATCACCATCACCATCATCCTCATCCTCATCCTCATCCTCACCCTCACCCTCATCATCATCATCACCAGGATTACCATCGTCATCATCATCACCGTCACAATTACCATCATCATCAGCATCATCATCAGCATCACCATCATCACCATGACAACCACCAATATCATCATCACCACCACCATCGCCGTAACATCAACAACACTATCACTACCACCACCATCACCACCATCACCACTATCAACATCACCATCACCATCAACACCAACACAATCTCCACCACCATCACCACCACAGTCACCATCACCCTCACCATAACCATCACAATAACAAGTGACACCATCACCATCACCACCATCATCACATTCATCATCATCATCGTCATCATCAGCATCAACATCACCACCACCATCACCATAGCCATCAACACCACCACCATTACCCTCACCATCACTCACTATCACACTCACCATCATCGTCACTATCACTCTCACCGACAACATCAGCATCATCATCAGCATCATCATCACCACCACAATCGCCATCACCATCATCACCATTATCATCAAGATCATCATCATCACCATCACCATCTCCATCACCATCACCGTCATCAACATTATCAACATCATCATCATCACCATCATCATCACCATCATCGCAGTCATCATCATCACCATCATCCTCACCGTGTCACCATCACCATCACCATCGTCCCCGCCCTCCTCCCCCTCCTCCTGAGGAGGGGCTTATGGAGTCGGCGGCGCGCCTTTCTCAAGACATGGCCCCTGTACAGTGGAGGCCAGTCCACAAGACACTGTCCACAAGAAACCCAACCCTGAGACCTCAGGACGTCCATTGATTTTTGGTGCGGGAACTTCGCGCTTTCCATGCCAGAACCATCGAGACCCAATAAACCCAAGGCACCCTGGCGGCAAGCAGGGTGTTTCCTGGCATGGGTCGCCACTGTACCTCTCGACCCTTTCGAGAAACGAAGCGCCACCTCTAATCCACGAAACGACAAGGCGCGAACCTCTGAAGCACGACACGCCGCATTCCAGGGCCCACCCGCCCCGCGCCCGGCCGAGCCGCCAGCCGTGCCGGCCGGCAGCCGCTGCAGCCCCGCCTGCGTGGCAGCCCAGGAGCGGCAGCGGCGGCCACGAGGCGGCGACGCAGGCGGTGGCTGCGATGGTGGCGGCGACGGCGAAGTGGCCCAGATCTTCGACAATTTCTTTTCGTTTCTCCGAAACATCCTGTGGTGTTGGGTCCTCGTTTTGAAGCGACAGCGCCCCACGTTCCTCACTCACTCCTTCTCCTCTTTGCCTCTGATGTCTCCGTTTCGGCATACCCAGTACAGCGTTTGTGGCCCCATAGGGAGCTCCACCGAAGGCCCAGGCGGCAGGGTTCGCATGGCGCCACCGCACCCTTTTCGGCACACCCCTCACACGTTTTACTGTCGACAATATGTTCAATTTCGATAATTTTTCAACTTTTGCAAAACGGGCGTTGCTCTTGGGCCTGGGCCTTCTGGGCCAGTGTCCAAGCCCTGCGGGGCCATGAAAACCTGCCCCTTGGGGAAGGGGTCCGTGCTGGCACGTGGATGGCGGCGGCAGCGGCGGCAGCGACAGCATTTTGAGGCGACGGGTGCGCCAGCGGCGGCCGCATGGCGGCGGCGCGTGCGTCGGCGTCGGAGACCATCTCGCGGTGGAGGGAGGGTGATGCGGAGGCGGAGGGCGGAGGAGGACACGGGGCAAGGAGGAGAAGCGGGACAGGAGGGCGAGGGGGAGGACGAGGAAGAGGCAGGGAGGATGACAAGGAGCAGGATAAGGAGGGGGACAAGGAGGAGAACGAGGGGAAGGGCGATGATGATGATGATGATGATGAGGAGGAGGAGGAGGAGGACCAGTGTAAACCCAAGACTCATCAACGACATTGCACAACAGTCTCCCTCCAAGCTCCCTCTTTTGGGCTCCTCCACGGATTCATTTCACTGAAGGGAATGCCCTGTTGGAAGACAACCGTTGGAAAATCAGGAATTGTGCCAGGACGCCGTTTCTGGGACTTCATCGCCGCGAATCACCGTTACTGTTGCGCTTTGACGATCCTGAATCGTGCCAGAACGCCATTCCTGGGACTTCAACACCGCGAATTAGAATTACTCTTGCGCCCTGACATTCCGACATCGTGTCAAAACAGCATTTCCAGGGAGTTCACCATGAGAGTCCTTTGAAGGGTTGCAAGCTCTTTAGACCACTGTGCACCGCGCTGAAACGAGAACCACATTTTGATAAGGAGCCGTCCTCCATCTGTGAAGCTCTTGCAGACTTTCAACTGATAATGTGCGCGGCGCTGGGGCGGGGACCACGCTTTGAGAACGGACCGCCCTCCATCCATGAAGCTCTTGCAGACTGTTCGAAGACACGTGCGCGGCTTCAAAGGCGAGAACCGCATGTTGAGGACGGGCCGTCCTCCCTCCGTGAAGCTCTGGCGAACCTTTCGGACAAGTATGAAGGGGCCCTGAGACACACAAATAAAAACACACAAATAAAAGGACCCCCCCATAGTTTCCCATATTGTCTGGGTTTCTGCCTTCCCCCCCTCTTCCCATATTCTCCCATCTTTTCTGGGAATCGACGATTGATTGTGTCTGTGTGTGTTTTTTCCCCCTCCTGAGAGTATGCGCGGGGCGCTGCGGCGAGAAGCCCATTTCGAGAACGGGCCGCCTTCCGTCCCTGCAGCTCTCCACATTTGTAGCTTCGGGATCATGCGTGGCGAAGGACCCTCGGGCGAAACGCCCGGCCCGCCCTTCTTCGACCAGCCTCGGGGTGCGACCGGGAGGAGCTACCTCTAAGGCGAAGGAATGGGGGAGGAGGAGGAGAAGGTGGAGGAGGAGGAGAAGGATGAGGAGGAGGAGAAGGAGAAGCAGGAGGAGGAGGAGGAGGAGGAGAAGGAGGAGGAGCCGCCGTCGTAAGCATTGGTGCGCCCATGAGGGCAGCATGCAAGGGGACGACGCCCGACAGTGTCCGAAATGGGCGGGGGCTGCTGCCGCGCAGGCGGCTTCTCGCTCGTACCAGCCGACAACGGACCCCGTGCAGCATGAGCAGGAACTGCTGTCAATCATCGTTCTCCTCCTCCTCTTCCTCCTCCTCCTCTTCCTCCCCCTCCTCCTCCTCCTCCTCCTCCTCCTCCTCCTCCTCCTCCCTCGCCTCATCCCACTCCTCTTTCGTCCCTCCTCCATCGCCCCCTCCCTTCTCCTCCTCCTCCTCCTCTTCCTCCTCCTGCTACTCCTCCTGTCCAGTCCTGGCGTCAACCCTCGGCCCGGAGGGTCCAGCGGTCCCTGGAGGCCCCTGGCGGGCGCGAAGATGCTGGAAACGCCCACATGCCTCGATCCTCCAGCAGCGAAGCGAGGCTCGGACATCCCAGACCTCCGATGTCGTGATTCTCCAGCTGCGTGGCCCCTGGACGTCTTGACCTCTTTTCGGCTACGCGCAAGAGTGACCCTGGGCAAGAGTGACCTTTGGTGCGCGCACTAGGGGGCGCAAGGTGGCCAAATCCAAGCGCGCAAGTAGCCGTTATCGCATCGTGTTCAACGATCTGAATGGCCCCGATGAGCCCACGCCAAAGGTCACTCCGTCGAAGGGTCACTCTTACGCGCAGCCAGTGTCTCAGTCGTGGATCCAGGACAGAATAACATCCAGGACATGATAACGAGAGCGCACCGCTGGATGATCCTCAGGGGAGGGGGTGGACCCCCCCCCCCCCCCCCGATCCGTCGTCGGCCCCCCCCCCCCCCCCTCCCCCCCCTTTCCCGATCCGTCGTCGGGGAACCCCCTCCCCCTGTCCCGGTCCGTCGTCGTCGGGGACCCCCCCTTCAAAGGGGGGGGGGGTCCGACCCCCCCCCCCCCTTTTGGCCGCAAATTCGTCTCCCCCCCTCCCCCCCTTTCGCCGCGGCGCCCCTGGTCTCCGGAACCCGACCCCTACCACCCCTAACACTAATCCTCACCCTTACCCTAACCCCTAACCCTAACCCCAAACCCAAACCCTAGCCCCAAACAGCGCTCACCTCTCATTCCGCACGACTCGCTACCCACAATTCACTACTCGCTACTCACTACTCACTTCTCACTACTCACTACTCACGACTCACTACTAACTACCCACGACTCACTACCCACGACGCACTACTCACTACTCCCTACTCCTACTCCCTACTCCCTACTCACTACCCACTACTTAATACTCACTACTCACTAAACACAATTCACTCCCCACTACTCACTAATCACGAATCACTACTCACTACCCACTATCCATTACTCACTACTTACACTTCACTACTCACTACTCACTGCCCTGAACTCACTACTCACTATCCATTTCTCGCTACTCGCTGCTCCCTGTACTGTACTCACTACTCAACACTCACTACTCGCTACTCCCTACGCCCTACTCGCTACACAATACGCACTATTCACGACCCGCTACTTACTACTCGCTACGCTCCCACTGCTCACTACTCACTACTACCTACACCCGACTCGCTACTCCCAACTCCCAACTCACTACTCCCTACTCCCTACTCCCTACCCACTACTTACTACCCGTAGTCCCTACTCGCTACGCACTACTCCCGACTCACTACTCACTAGTGGTTCCTGACTACTCCCTCCTCACAACTCACTACTCACAACACCCTATTCGCTTCTCAGTACTCACTACTCGCTACTCCCTACTCGCTTCTCGCTACTCTCTACTCGCTACTCACCATTCACTACTCACTACTCTTTGCTCACTGCGCACTACTCACCACGCACTACTCGTTCCTCGCTATTCGCTACTGTCTACGCCCTCATACCTACTCCTTGCTCACCACTCACTATGCACTACTCACTACACACTACTCCCTCCTCCATTTTCACTACTCACCATTCTTTACTCACTACATCCTTCCCGCTACTCACTACTCACGAATCTCTACGCAATACTCACTACTACCACTACCCTTTACCCACAACTTACTACTCACCACTCACGACTCACTGCGCACTATACTCACTATCAAATACCCACTACGCACCAATCGCTACTCAAAACACTCTACTCCCTACTCACTACCCGAGAGGCCCCCTCCCCAGCCCCCTGTTCGGCGTAAAGGGGGGGAGGGGGGTGTGGGGGTTCGACCCCCCCCTCCCTTGCCAGCGCCAAGGTGGTGAGAGGGGGAGGGGGGGGGCGGCGAAAATCTCAACCCCCCTTTGAAGGGGGGAGGGGGGTTCTGCGAGCACCCCCCCGTCCTTTGGTGTATTCAGGGCCATCCACTGGCGCGCTTTCCAGAATAACGTCCTTCGAGCACATGAGACCCTCCGCCGGCCAGGCAGGCTGACAAACATTACAAGGTATCCTACCCCAGGATGCACAAGAACATCCAACACACACGATGCACATTGGGGCACCCTCCCCGAACCGACCTCAATCTTTTATACCTCGGTCCGACCGTATGTCCAAGGCCCCCAGACGCCGAAACACGGACAAAACTCATTCTTGAGTGTTCCAAGGGGTTGGATGTCTGTGCTCCCTCACATCGGCTGGACGTTTCCAAGGGTTGGTTTTGATGAGAACTCGGGGCCACCAGCGCCGTGGCGACAAGGGAACACCAGAACGGCAAAAAACGACGAAACACGCCCCCCGCAACTCGATCTTCTAACTTCGATCCCAAGACTACCACCGTCACCGATGGGAGGAAGGAAGGCGGAAAGGAGAGGAGGGGGGTGAGGGGATGGGGCAGGAGGTGGAAGAGGAGCGGGAGGGGCAGGAAGAGGATGGGAAGAAACAGGAGAACGGCGGAGGAAAGCAGGGCGAAGCGGAGACGCAGCCACTCGGAAGCCAGGACCCCCCGAGGAGTGCCGCCGCGACGGCCGTCAGCGCCAGCCGCGACGAACGGCGACGGCGAGCACGAGGACGACGAGAACGACGAGGACGAGGACGACTACGAGGACGACGAGGACAACGAAGACGAGGACGACGAGGACGACGAAGACGACGAGGACGAGGACGGCGACGAGGACGAAGAGGACAACGAGGAGGATGACGACGACGAGGACGACGACGACGACGAGGACGACGACGACGAGGAGGACGACGACGACGTCGACGTCGACGACGAGGACGAACGGCGACCGACGGCCGGCAGCGCTGGCGAGAAACGTCGACGGCGAGGATGCACTGGCTGACGGGTCATAGCTCGGGCCTCCAATGTCTGATCGGGGCGACCCAGGCACCTTCGGGGACGCCCTCGACGAGACGCGAGCGCCAGAAAAGACACCCCGAGGCGAGCAAGTTTGTCAAGAAGCGTCAATGACGAGCGAGGGAAGCCCTTGAGAAACCCTCGAGAGCGATGGCGACGGCGACCGACGGCAGCGACCGACGGCGGCTGGCGGCGGCTGGCGGCGGCCAGCGAGGGGCGGTGTCGGCCAGGGGCGGCTGGCGACGACGGTGACGAGGCGCAGGCGCTCTCGATTATCTCGAGGCGAACAGGCCCTTAAGAAGACGCGAAGACCTCCGTGAGACCCGCCCGCCAGAGAAGACCTGCCAGCGACGACGGCGACGGCGACGACGGCGACGACAGCGAGGCGCGGCGGGCGACGACGACGGCGGCGACAACGACGACGACCTTCGACGGCGGACAGCGGCGGCGACGACCC